CTTTCACAGAAGGAAGCCACATGATAAGCCAGGAACGACAGAGTGGGGAGGGTGGGGAGCTTCTCACTTCTTACCACCTGCCCCACCCTCCTCATTTGGTTCTGGGTTGGCAGAGTCTGAGTCCAACCAAAAGACCAGAAATAAAGAACCAAAAAGAATTCCATAAAACTTGCCAGTAGTTACTTTAAAGTCCATTTCAAGGCACTGAAGATATATCTATGTGGGATAGGAATACAGTGATCCCCCCTGGACAAAGCACTGAAGGAAAAAGCAATGGCCCATAAGACAGAAAACCCTCATTTTGTCACCAGCACAGCTAGTCTATGATGAGATAACCCTTTATTTCTTAATCTGTCCCATGAAAACACTAATAAACATCTTGCCTCTTTCACTGAGTTAGAGGCCCTATGATGTGAATTCACACTCTACAATGAAAATACAAAGCACTATTAGAGCTTCTAAGGGCCATTTCTTTTATCTTTGGAGAATCTTCCATTATATATTTAACTGTGTTTCAATTTGTATTTTAAAAGAAGAGGAATCTGGTATCAGGCTTCATCTATAATGCTTTCCAGCATTTTGAAGGCAATTTCCAGAAAGAAAGAAAAAAGAAAAAGACAAATTCAGCCTAGCTGGGTGCCTCAGAAACCAACCACAGTAGGGGCTACTATACTTTGTTTTCTAGGAATTGATTTTAAAAGTTTTCTGCTTCCTGAGGTGTGTTACCAATACGTGGTAAATTTGACTCTGGTTTTATCAATTCACAGAATTGGTATATTTGAAAGAAAAAGACAAAGGAGATAAGACATTTAAATGCAAGCACAGTCAAGAATTTCCAGTTAAATCCTAATTATTTCAGAATGTATAATTTCTCACACATAAATGAGAAGCAATAACTCACTCAGTTATTAAGTAACTCACTCAGTTATTAAGACCCTGATTCATTCCTGTGATAGTAACAATATTTTAGAATAATATCTTCATAGATGCTGATCTGTAGTTTCCTTTTCTAGCCTAACATTTCTGTACCTTTTGTGAAAACAATTAAGCTTTATTAGATGCTAAAGACTCAACTGCAACTTAAATCACTTTTACCCTGACCAGCAAGGTCATGGTGGAGAGGCAGATGTCACTACATAAAGAACAAGGAAAATAAAAGGAAGACAGACTGCAAGCTCACGGGTTCATCAACTGTAAACAAGCACATAAACAGGCTATACAACAAGAGTGACATTTTAGGATTGAAGCTTGGAATCGTGACACAGTGTGGAGCCTTCTACAGAAGAAGATACTTGGAAACTTGCATGAATATAAAATGTGCATAACCTTTGGAGGGCAACCTGAATACAGCTGGCACATTTTTAAGGCCAAATCTGAGCGAAGTATGAGGGATTCACTTGTTTAGAGGATTATTTGGCTCTGTTTACAGGATTATTTGGTGGTGGGGGGGAATGGGGAGAAATATAGATGACAAAGGAACAGATACTTAACTGCTATCAAGCGAGAGTATCTTTTCCTTTTCAATTTCCAGGAATTGAACCCTTTTTAGAAAATTCTGATCAAGAATCTGGAATAGCTGTTGGGGCTTCTTCCCTCCAAAATTTTACCTTTGGTAAGATGTCAAACCAAAAAACATTTTATATGTGCAATGAACACCATTTTTACCTCACACTCAGCTTCACCATGCCAACATTTCCTCATATTAGCTTTATCTGTGTGTGTACAGTTTGTAGAATTGTTAAATCATTTGCAAATAAACTGCAGACTTCATGACATTTCACTCAAAAAATTTCAGCATGCATCTAAGAACAAGGACATATACAGACATAACCATAACACCATGGCACCATATATCATCCACATTAAAATATCTCTGGTATCTTTTATAGCTGACTCTAATTTTTCATTTTTCTAATCCAAGATCTCATATCTTAATTATGATAATTCTTTAGTTTTCCTTAACTGCTCAAGACTAAATCTTCTAGAAGAAGATTTCATGACACTGATATTTTTGAAGAAGCCAAATCAGTGGTTGCTTCTAGAATGTCCTACAACTTGGATTTGATTGTTTTCTCAGGATCTAGAGTCAATCAGATTAAGATTAATGTTTTGGGCAAGACACTACATAGGACACTGTGTCTTTCTCAATGTATCATATCAGGAGGCAGACAAGTTCATCTGTCCCATTACTGGTGATGCTGTTTGATCACTTGGATAAGGTGACGTATGCTAGATCTCTCTATGATAAAGGTGTTTTTTCCCTTTGTAATGATTAAGTACAGTAATTTGGCATAATTTGAGACTGTGAGGATATTTGTTTCTCAACGACCTTTCATTCAATGTATGCAGCATCCACTGATGATCTCCGCTTGAATTACTTCATTACTTCATTAGTGACTGCCAAATGGTAATTCTCTAATTCTGTCAAAACTTGCACAATTTGGTGATTCTTCTATAATATGACTGTAGATTCAGGATTCATCATTTTTATTTATTCATTATTTATTTTATTCATCATTTCCACTAGCATTACTCTTTTTGAAGTTCAAACTGCCCCCAAAATGGCTAGTAGGATACCATCAAATAGCTGATAAAAGAAGAGAAAGGAAAGGCAAAAGAAAAAAGGAAAGATATACCATTTGAATGCAGAGTTTGAAAGAACCACCAAGGAGAGATAAGAAAGCCTTCCCCAGGGATCAATGCAAAAAAATAGAGGAAAACAACAAAATAGGAAAGACTAGAGATCTCTTCAAGAAAATTAGAGATACCAAAGGAACATTTCATGCAAAGATGGGCACAAAAAAGGACAGAAACGGTATGGACCTAACAGAAGCAGAAGATATTAAGAAAAGGTGGCAAGAATACANAGGCTGTATATTGTCACTCTGCTTACATAACGTATATGCAGGGTACATCATGAGAAATGCTGGACTGGATGAAGCACAAGCTGGAATCAAGATTGCTGGGAGAAATATCAATAACCTCAGACATGCAGATGACACCACCCTTATGGCAGAAAGCAAAGAGGAACTAAAGAGCCTCTTGATAAAAGAGAGTGAAAAAGCTGGCTTAAATCTCAACATTCAAAACACAAAAATCATGGCACCCAATCCCATCACTTCATGGCAAATAGATGGGGAAACAATGGAAACAGTGACAGACTTTATTTTCTTGGGCTCCAAAATCACTGCAGATGGTGTCTGCAGCCATGAAATTAAAATATATTTGCTCCTTGGAAAAAAACTTTGACAAACCTCAACAGCATATTAAAAAGCAGACATTACTTTGCCGACAAAGGTCCATACAGTCAAAGCTGTAACTTTTCCAGTAGTTAAGTATGGATGCAAGATTTGGACCATAATGAAGGCTGAGCACTTAAGAATTGATGCTTTTGAACTGTGGTGTTGGAGAAGACTCTTGAGAGTCTTGAACTCTCAAGACCTTTCAGCTGAAAGATCAAACCAGTCAGTACTAAAGGAAACCAGTCCTAAATATTCATTGGAAGGACTGATGCTAAAGCTCCAGTACTTTGGCCACATGATACGGTAAGCCAACTCATTGGAAAAGACCTTGATGCTGAGAAAAATCAAAGGCAGGAGGAGAAGGGATGACAGTGAACAAAACGGTTGGATGGCATTACCAACTCAATGGACATGAGTTTGAGCAAGCTCTGGGAGATAGTGAAGGACCCAGAAGCCTAGCATGCTGCAGTCCATGGGGTCACAAAGAGTCAGACACAACTGAGTGACTGAATAACAATGAAGGATACCATCAGGCTGGCTCCTATGTCATTTCAGTGTTGTCCCCATGAGTTTTTGAATAGTTCTTTGCCTTGTTCTTGCCCTGCCACTGAAAGACATCTCTGCATAGAGTACAGGTAAGTTTTATTAGGGAAAGTACTTAGAGACCTAAATCTGGGTGCCAGGTATGCTCACTGCTGTTTGGTGTCACTGTCTTAAGCCCCTTCAGTGGGCAAGGCCAGCAAATGTATTTCTAGAATAATTTATGAGTTGACCTACAAATCACTAAGAAAATGTTAGGCCACCCAAAAGAAGATATAGGAAGCAACAGAAAACATTGTTCCCACCCTAAAGCTGAGAAAAAGCCTGATAATCTACAGAATCATAATTTTTCTTCAGCTCTTCAGACAGCTGAGAATACGAGAAAACAAAATAACCTGAATTCCCAACAGAAGGCCCTCCAGAGGACAGACGGGTCATGAGAAGGGTTCTGCCCAAGGCAGAACATGAGACTAGGAGATAGCCACTATACAAATGCAAAAGATGAAACCAGAGTGCTTTTATTAGCTCTTTCAGTACTCAAAACCACAATGTAAGATAAAAAATTACTTGTGGGTCAAACATAATCAGCAAAGGAACTAAAAATCATGATACAACTATACTGAGAGGTGATACAGAGGACTTCTGATAGTAAGAGAGGCCAAGAGATAAGGCCTAAAACTGATAAACCAATACATGGCGTCATGCACTTAAACTGAACTGTGTATGCGTCCTCAGTCACTCTACCGCGTCTGACTCTCTGTGATCCTGTGGACAATGGCCCACCAGGCTTCTCTGTCCACAAAATTCTTCAGGCAAGAATACTGGAGTGGGCTCCCATTTCCTTCTCCAGGGATCTTGCCAACACAGGGATTGAACCCATGCCTCCTGGATTGGCAGGCAGGTTCTTTACCACTGCACCACCTGGGACGCCTCCTACACTGAATTATACACGGGAAAATGGTTATGATGCAAATTTCAAGTTTTGTGGGGGTTTTTTAAACTACAATTTTAAAAAACAGCATCATAGGTATACTAATTAATGATAACAACTAGAACAACCAGGTAAAATTATTTCCTCTGTGGGGTTATACTTCAGATAGGAAAGGGTAAGAAGAGGAATTGGTCTCATTCTAACATTATTTGAACTATTACATTTTATTTTTTTAAATAGGTATTAGCTTGTAATTTTTTCAAATTCTGATGAAAAGACTTCCTTACCTTGATCTGTAAGACATCAAGTGGAACTGTCTCTCCTTTCACAATGGCAAGTGTGGCATCGGTAATATGTCTAAAAGATAACAAGAGGAAAACGATCATGTTGTGAAAAATAAACAACAGTCCCCCCAAGACACACACACAAAACCATTCCTGCCCAGAGTACTAACAGTTGAATCAGGGAAAAGACATACTCCTTTGAAATACCCCCAAGAAAGTAGAGTGAAGGAGTGTAAAAGAATTGCTGATACAAATAGAATGGAAGGCTCCGATACAGACTCAAAGAGAAGGCTTCAGCAAAGAGAAGTTTATCCGAATTTATTTATTTATATCATTTATTTACTTCAATCATTTATTTACTTCACACTTAACAGAGGGTCTACATTGTGTCCAACTCTTATCATTGGAAATTATGATAAAAAAATAAATAACATAACATCTTTCATTCATTGTAACAAAGTCAAGCACTTCAAAAACCATATACCTTTTTACTCTGATAACCTGAAGGATAACTAAAGGACAGGACTAGTTGGCTCAGTGGTAATGAATTCGATCCCCTGATCCAGGAAGATTCCAAATGCCGCAGAGCAACTGAGCCCATGTGCCCCAACTACCAAGCCTGTGCTCTAGAACCAGGGAGCCGCAACTGCTGAGCTCACGTGCCGCAAGTGCCAAAGCCCATGTGCCCCAGAGCCCACGCTGCACAACAAGAGAAGTCACCGCAATGAGAAGTCCATGTACTGCAGCTAGAGAGTAGCCCCTACTTGTTGCAATTAGAGAAAAGTCCACACAGCAACAGACACAGCACAGCCATAAAAAAAAGTAAATAAGTAACATTATTTTAAAAAAGAAAAAAAAGCTACTAAGTATCACTGGTGTGGGGATTACATTCAAAAGAAGAAATTAAAAAATAAAGGACAGGATTTGTTGAAGTTATTTTAGAAAAATGTAATAAATCCTCAAAATATACACGTTAATGCTTGGATGACATTCTGGGTTCCCTAGTAAGCAAGCTGAAACTTAAGAAACAACCTCATTTACTTTCTCAAATTTCTCTTTATCCCATTTTCCCCTTCAAGACAGATGCTATGTGGGAAGCAGGTAGAAGTCTAGAAAATGAAATTCAATTTAGGAGATAGCAAGATGCATGATCACCAGTTCAGATTAATTCGATATGAATATATTAATTTCAAAGGAAGCTATCAGAAAGAATGCTAAAGTTCCATGCTTGCTCTGAGTGGTACCTAGCACATTAAGAGGTTTAAGAAGTGCTTTTGAGAGGCTGACCTTTAAAAAAATGTTCCAACTGAAAAATGCCTTTCCATATTAATTTTTTTCAAAATTGCTTAGCAGAAGATGGTTAACATGCAACCTTAAATTTGTCATCCTCTGGCAATAATTGAAAGTTCTAAATAAAGCAGCCCTGTAGCATGGAATAGCTATTTTTTAGGATTATTTATCTGCAACATTCCGAATTCAAAATTCCTTTTTCTTCTGTAGTAATTATGGTACAACAAATCTTGACAGCAATGCAAAAAGCAAAGCCTTGTTCTTTTAAATAGCCTCAGGCACCTGCCATGTTAAGAGGGTCTACAAAATTCTGAACCCAGGGCAGACCGACTTAATTACCTAAGAGCCCTGGGGCATGCTTATAAATTAAGTTTTAAAAATCTTCAAATTATAAATAGAAGCAGCAACAACATTTGTTTAACTACAGGGAAAATCAGCTCTCAAGACACTGAGGGCTATCTAAGGCCTTGAGGGTGGGCGCCCAGCCTAGACCCTGGCTTTGGATAGGTGAAAGGTTCTCCCAGGAACGCCATCTGCCTCTGCATTGCTGACATATTCGGTGATGCTGGCAAGCAGTTCAAATAATCTACACTGACAGGCAGAAAGACCAGCTATCACAAGTGATCAAGACCCGAACCAGACAGGATTTGTCTCCGACAAGCAGAAACGTTTAACTCACTGGTTGTCATATTTATTGCCCCTCAGAAATTCTAGACTGGTGGAAAATATACAGCAAAATGAAATGCCACGTTCAGCTGCAGGAAGACTGGTGAAGGGCTGGATACTCCCAATTAGATGAAGACTTGAGGCATGAGGGACGTTTTAATAAAGACCTGGTATTAGTATATGTCTACATGTATGCCTAATCTGTGATATATGGACCAAGGCTTTTATCTAAAACAAAGAACTGAATTGTTAAATTCAGTTAAAAACTGTTAAATATCCTAAAATGAAACAGCAATAATAAATCCATAAAACCAGTCTATTCAAAATCCCCAAGCAGAACTGGACAGCCACATGCAGAAGAATGAAACTGCACCACTAGCTTACACTACACATAAAGATAAACTCAAAATGGACTAAAGACCTGAATGTAATAAGACCTGAAACCATAAAACTCCTAAAAGAAAACAAAGGGTAAGCTCCTTAACGTAAGACTTGGTGATGATTTCTGAACCTGATACCAAGAGCAACAAAAGCAAAAATAAAAAAGTGGGACTACATCATACTAAAAACCTTCTGGAGAGCAAAGAAATAAGCAACAAAATGAAAAGGCAACCTGATGAATGGGAGAAAGTATTTCCAAGTCATGTATTTCTAAATGGTTAATATCCAAAACATATAAATATCTCATACAACTCAACAGAGGGAAAAAAATTCACTTGAAAAATGAGCAGATGATTGGAGCAGACATTTTTCCAAAGACATGCAGATGGCCACAGGTACATGAAAAGATGGCCCAGAATCATGAAACTTCAGGGAAAAGCAAACTGAAACACATAGAAATATCCCCTCATACCTGTGAGAATGGCTATTATCAAAAAGATAAGAGATAACAAGTGTTATAGAGGATGTGGAGAAAAGGGCACCCTTCTTCACAGTTGGTGGGAATGTTAAATTGGTACAGCCACTGTGGAAAACAGTATGGAGATTCCTCAAAGAATTAAAAACAGAACTTTCATACAATTCAGCAATGCCACTTCTAGCTATTTATCCAAAGAAAACAAAAACACTAACTCACAAGATATATGCACCATATTTGCTGCAGCATTATTTACAATAGCTAAGATATGGAAACAAGCTAAGTGTCCACTGACAGGTGAATGGATAAAGAATCTGTGATACATGTATATGTTCGTGCGCACATAGTATTCAACAATAAAAAAGAATGAAATTATGCCATTTGCAACAACATGGATGAACCTGGAGGGTGCTGTGCTAAGTGAAGTCAGAGAAAGACAAATACTATATGATCTCACTTATATGTGGGTGGCATCTTAAAAAAAAAAGTTCATAAATGACACAGGACAGATTGGTGTTTGTCAGAGGTGGGGTGTGGGAGGTGGGCAAAATAGGTGAAGGGAGTCAAAAGTTACAAAATAAGTTAAGTCCTGGGGATGGAAGGTATAGCATGGCAACGAATGCTAATACTGTGCTGTATGTTTGAAAGTTTTAAAGACAGCATATCTTAAAAGCTCTCATTGTAAGGGAAAAAATTCTGTAACTATTGTCTGGTGGCAGATGTCAACTACACTTACCCCGGTGGTAAACACATATTGAATCATTGTGTTGTACATCTGAAACTAATATAAGGTTGTATGTCCATTATACTTTAATTTAAAAGAAAAATCCCAAAGCAGAAACAAAAAAATAATCCAAAAGAGAAAGTCACCTGCGTATTGTTATTGTCACTGATTTTGGAAGGTTATAAACAGAAATGCCTTGAGAATATTTCAATTCATTCATTCAATAAACACTATTTATTGACCTCTCCAACGTGTCACAAAGCCTTAAAGATCAGGCATTTAAAATGGATGGCCAACGAGGACCTACTGGACAGCACAGAACTCTGTGAAATGTTATGTGACAGCCTGGACACGGAGTAGTTTGGAGAAGGGATACATGGATATGTATGGCCGAGTCCCTTCACTATTCACCTAAAATTATCACAACATTGTTAATCGGCTATATCCTAATACAAAATAAAGAGTTCAAAAAATAAATAAAGATCAGGCAACCGACAATGAGAACCTGAAAATGACTTGTCCAAGATTCTATTTTTAATCAAAGTCATGACTCAAATTCAAGATTCCCATCTTCTTGAAAGACTCGATTTTTGTTTACACAATGCTTTCAAAAGAAAAGTGCAACGGTAACAATTTGCCTGACTCCTGAAGACAAGGGTAGACTCGCAGCAATTTAATTTAGATGTCAGGGCTGCACTGCTTTCTGTCTACTTTCTCCGTACTGTTTTCTACTTTGGGCATTCCCTAAAGGAGGTAACTATATTTGGCTGTTTTAGCTACTTATATTATCAAGGTAATGGAGCCAAGGCTGCTGGCTCAGTCTCCACAGGAGATTTGCTATTTGTCATCATGCATACTTAACGCAAACAAATGAGCACTGCGAATCTGTCTTCACCAGAGAATCTTACAACACAAAAGCACACAAATAGTATGTTGGATCAGCAGAACTATCATAAGAGACAAAAGGACATCAGTATTCATAGCCATACCTCACCTGGCGACTTAATATTAGATCACCAGGGTCCCACCACCCAACAGAGAAACTTCCCCATCAACCACAAGCTTGAACTCTGATCTCCTCCTCCTTGATCTGAAGTTTCAGGCTAGCGAAACTCAGAAGGAAAACTGTATCACACATGCGCATCTGCCATTCCCAGGCTCTCTCACCCACAAATGCTACCATCCCACATTGACAACCTACTGGACTTTGTTTCCACTTTTGGCAAAGAGTGTCTGACTCAAACTACTGGTCTGGCCCAGTGGGATGAATCCGATGGGAATCTTACTGAAGGTAGCCTGGGGGGAAGAAAATGAGAGGGAAGTTTTATTGTTATGGTCAGAAAATGAGATTGAACAAAGAGGCACAGACGTGTCCATAAAACAAAGTAAGTGACCCTGGCCCTGCCTCCCTGTCTTCCTTCCCACGCCCCCAGACCAGCCATCAAGGTAATCCTGAGGAAGCCGTTTCTAGAACAAGGCAGTTCATGAAAACAACAAAACTTCAAATTTAGAAGAAATACTTCAATACTCACTAATAGCAATGGGTTGAAAGAAATTTGGTTAAAAAAATGAGTGTCTTGGATATTACATAGCTGCATGACTGTGACAGACTGTATTACGTTGCCACACTATTTGACAAAGTTGCAGATAAAATTCAATTTAAAATGTCTAACACTGGTATAGTGACTGAGGACAGGTGAAACTGCCTTGTAAACTATTCCAAGTATCAACAAGGCTATGAGAATATGCAAGGTCAAGTAGCAGAAGAATGGCATAGCAGAGGACTCAATTAAATGCTGCAAATACTAACAGATACTGTAAGGTTCTAAAGACTATTTTGAGCTCAATCTATTATAACCAAGGGACTGCAAAGGATCTTCTTCCTTGTGGTTACTTTCTTTTCTCTGTTGTATTTCTTATTTAAAATACTTTATTGTAGAAAAGTGGATAAAATAATCTCAAAACACCCATGTAACTAAGACCCAGATTTGGCAAATATTACGTTTTGCCCTATTTGCTTCAGTTTTAAGAGAGAAATTGATGCAGATGCAGGTCAAGTCCCTTCTTCCTCTCTTCCTCTTTCCTTTCCCCAAAGGAAACAAACCATCCATTATCACAGACTTTGTACAGTTCCTCTCCATCCACGTTATTATCCTTTGACTACAAAGTTGATGTGTCCATCAACAGGATCTTTGTTCTCTGAATTTTAAAACTTTGTAGAAATGCATTAACATGCTTTGGCAACCTAACTTTCTTATTGAATATTTTTTAGATTTATCACGTAGATGTTTGTAAGCCTAGTTCATTCATTTTAACTGTTGTGTGGTTTCCAACATATGAATATACCATGGTTTATTAATGAAGGAATCCTTTGAGAAAAAGATTTTATAGGGAAATTTTATAGTTTAAACAACTCTTGGTTAAAAAAAAAAAAATCATTGGATATTCTAGGTTCCCAAAGCAGGAAAGTCCACCACGGGTTAATAGAAGTGTTCTATGACAGGCAGATTTTACTTTCTAAAATCCAAGGAAGCAAAACTTGTTCCCACCTTAAAACATAAAATAGGGAGGAAGGGAGGGAGGGAGTGAGGAATAAAGAAAGAGGAGGAAAGTAAAAGCCAAAATGCAATTATTCTTAAAGCTCACCTCATCTGCTCTTCGAAGAACTCCAGTAATAACCTAAAAATGTTTTTAAAAATTATTATAAACACCTTGTAGTTCCTTTATCATAAAATAATTGGATTCAATTTTCATGGACCACAAACTTGTTCCTGTTTTCTTCCTAGAAACTATGTCAAAAGATGTATTGGTTCTTAAAACACAAACCATTCTCCAATAGGAGCAGAGCTAAATTAGGTTTTATTCTTCACCTGGCATCAACAGGACTATAAAGACTAAGACAAAATAATTATAAAACCTCCACATTATATTAGCAAAATTACGTTTTAAGTTCAATAAGATGGGTCACTCAGAAGCCTGCTCTCAAATGTTTCTTATCGATGAATACAAAGACAAGGGGAATTGTGTTCCCTCTATAAAAAGACATTTTTAATTTGAATTTTTGCATAATTTACTTTTCACTTTTAAACTATAATGCACAAGTCTTGTAAAAACTGTAAAAAATACCTGAAGAAAGAATACTTCCTCATTAACCCACCAGACATCATTAGTGAGTTGTTTACATTTCTCTCCAATTCTTTTTTTTTAAAATTGGGGCATAGTTTTATGAGTAGATCATACCAGATACACAATTTGGTATCTTTCTTAAAAACATTTTGTAAAGTCAAGGCTGACGCCAATCTTCTCCCCCATCTCCTGCCTCCCTGAATTTTGCGATTAAATGGGGCTCTGATGTGGCCCACTTCATTCTTTGTTGGCATGCTATCTGTTTTCTTCACACTTCATTAAAAAGCCATAAAAACAATTACAAGATCATTAGCACAGCCTTTTAAAAAGCAGCTTACTAAGGCTCACATGGTTGCTAAATTAAACACAGGACAATGCCCTGCCTGCTGGCAGCTCTTGATCCATAAACACCGAGGAAACCACCAGGCAGAGGCAAAAGGCAAGAAATGAGGTTCGGATGCAACTTTTACACAGGATGGGGTGACTGAGTGGGAGGGGCCCCCCGCACTGGGCTCTTCAGGGGCTTCCAATACATAATGAAGGTTCTAGTCTACTGCCCTGAAAGAGAAGAGCATTCCCAGGGCAATATACTTACTGTCCCAGGCAAGCAATATAGAAAAGGGATTGCAGAACAAAGGCAGTACACACACTAGAACATGGAAACCTCTGCCTCTAAAGGTACCATTAGGAGATAACATTACCTAAGATGGAATGTTGTGAGAATGGACAGATGCATTCTTTTAAAAAGGGAATCATTATTTAAGTTTTACAAGAAACCTTCCCATAATTAAAACTATGATACCATAATAAACAGGGCTACTGCAGAAGAGTCGTAAAAATGTAAAAAGCATTTCACACCCAGAACCATTTTGTACCCTGTTTTATTTCACTTTATCCACCTTCAATTTGATAGAACGGAAACCTTTCTATGTGCTGGGTTCAGAATTTATACAAAGCAATGAAATAAAAGTCCATAAGGAAAAATGTAATGTTATGCTTGCTTCCCAGAGAAACAATGCTATAAGAAATCATTTCCTTACATGATAATCACTTTATGGCCCCACTCTAAGATCTCATTTCTATTTTCCTCATTTTCAAAATGGCTTCAGACAGAAAAGCAGCCACACCTCTTGTAGCGTCCCGTCTCCTCCAGCGACAATGATCACATCTGTGTTTTCCATCAGTTCCAGGAGTTTCTTGGCTTGGCCCTCATAATCTGTCTGCAATACAAAGGAAGCCTTTGGTAAATGTATCATCCTAGAGCCACAAGCCCAAAGGTCTAAAAATGTAGAAGTTTCTTTACAGTTTTGCACTGAATCTTTTCTTAAATCCTACATAATTGATGCATATGAAAAACTAAATAGCTGCTAAAGCAACTAGATATGGTTTTTATAGTTTTATATGTTTAGAGCTGGAAGGGACCTCAGAAACCATCTAGTCAGCTCCTTGCTTTTAAAATAAAACTCAAACTCAAACTCAAACTGATGTGTCTCAGTTACAGTTAGCCAGTCAGGGGACTCATTTCCAGGCCAGTGCAAATTCTATTACTTCATTTACCCAATGACTTTCATCTGAAAGCAAGAGGTCAAATGTATATGCAAATAAGGAGAAACAAATATAATGAAAAAAGCACAGATTTGAGAGCCCAAGAGACCCAGATTAAACCCCAACTCTATTTTTTAGCTGAGTGGCTTTAAACCCTCAAGATCTTAATTTCCTTATCAATGAAATCACGTGTACTGGAAGAAAGGGTAAGAGATTTCCCGTAATACTGTTGGAAAGCAGTATGAAAAGCAAACAGTGAGATGCCTGTTCTTAACTGGTACTGTGCTAGCTCATGGCTTCCCCGGTGGCTCAGCTGGTAAAGAACCCGCCTGCCAATGCAACAGACACAGATCCAATCTCTGGGTCGGGAAGATCTCCTAGAGAAGGAAATGGCAATCTGCTCCAGTACTCCTGCCTGGAAAGTTCCATGGACAGAGGAGCCTGGTGGGCTACAGTCCATGGGGTTGCAAAGAGTTGGACATGACAGAGTGACTAAAACCAAATATTGGATTTTAACAGATGTAAAGGTAATGCCGTTAATAATAAGGAAACACTATCTCCTGTGGACACTTTACAAGACAAACTAATAGGCAAAAAATTAAGAGACTGAGGTTTCAGATGGGCTAAAGCACCTGGGCCACTGTCAACATAGAAAAAAAAAATGAAGTCCCTACACTAACATCATCTCATCTCACGATGAATGGTTCTACTTCTATCCTGAAAAATCTAATGACTGGCTTTGCAGTTATACATTTGCAAATACATCCTTTTTTCACAGTTAACAGCTTATTAGAAAGGATCCAGATGAACAAATGAAGAGGTACAAGGGGTGAACTGTGTGGGGAGGGGCGTCCCATGTCCTCTCTAGGACACCACTTCTCAGATCTCCACAGGTTCACCAGCCCAGAAGCTCTCTGAGCCCTGTCCCTTCGGGTTTTTACATTGGTTTCATTACATACCCACGGTTGATTAAATCGTTGCCCTCTGGTGATTGAGCTCGATCAATCCAAATATTTCATTAAAAAAAAAAGAATATATATTGATCCTAATTTAAAAGGAGGCTTTGTAAACATCCCAAAATAGGTGACCACTGGTAATCTGCAAGGGTTCTCCAAGAACAAGGCGTCTCAGACTATTCTCATCTTTGACAGATTACTAGATAAACGATACGGGAATGCAAACAGACATTCTATCTGGTCCTCAGCAAGGCATCTGGCAAGCTGTTTGATCATATCCTTGGGAACAAGGTGGAGATAAGTGGGAACAATACACTAGAATACAACTGGGTGAACTGATTACCAAGTGAATGTCTATGCTCAAAGTAACACTCCCCCAGTAGAGGAACATCAAATTGTAGGTAGATTCCTGGTTGCATTTCTTTAGGAATCTCCTTTCAGACTTTTTCTGCATAACACTTGATCAACAGAGAGAGGAAAGGTCATTTACTGAATATGTAAGTGATACAAGCCTGACAATCTTGCCCTTCCCGACTTCTCCAGCCTCATCCTCTCTGCCAGTCTCTCCTTGCTCATCCTCCTCCAACTACACTGGCCTTCTCACTCTGCCTCAAACACCCACAAATACTCCACAGAGCCTCTGAACATGCAGTATGCTGGCCCTGGATCCTCTCCCTCGCCCACCCTGCATGACGCTCTGATTTCCTCCAGGTCCCTTTCAAAGGGCATCTTATAAGACCAGCCTTCCTTGGCTCCCTGAACTAAGCTAACACCCCCGTTACTTTTTTTATCCCTCTTGACTTTTCCTCTTGGCACTCACCACCACCTGACAAATCCTAAGTTTATTTATATATGTTTATCATGTGCATCCCTTCTTTTCACACTTTAGAATTTCTGAGGACAGACAGGGAAAATGTTTTGTTCAGACTCTACCCTCAATACCTAGAACAGAGTTTACTTTATACGAGGTGCTGTTGTTGCTCAGTTGCTAAGTAGTGTCTGACTCTGTGACCCCATGGACTGTAGCCCACCGGGTTCTTCTGTCCACAGGATCTCCCAGGCAAGAATACTGGAGTGGGTTGCCATTCTCTTTTCCAGGGGATCTTCCCGACCCAGGGATCAAACCCACATCTGCTGAATTGGCACGTGGATTCTTTACCACTGAGGCACCTGGGGTACTCAAATATTTGCAAGAAAAAAGTGAAAAATAGGAAAGTACATGAATGAAAGAATCAAAATTTCAAAAGACATTGACACATTTAACAGACCATAATTTAAAAGATTACATTAATAGGGATGATATATTTGAGGCTCTAACCTTAAGAGGAAAATTCTAAATGCACCAAACAGAAAGGACAAAGAGTGGCCTAAGGATGCAGAAAACTCAAATTTTATACCTTTCATAAAAATTAACTCAAAATGGATCACAGATCTAAATGCAAATAAAAATCTATAAAATTTCTAGAAAATAACATATTAGAGGATCTAGGTGATCCTGGGTTTGGTGATGAGTCTTTAAATAAATCACCAAAAGCAAACCTAAAAGAAAAAATTGGTAAGTTGGACTTTCTTAAAATTAAAAAGATAAGTAAAAATTATACCAGGCAAAAACTAACCAAAGTAAGCCAGTATGGTTACTAATAACACTAAATAAAATAGACCACAGTAAAAGACAATGTTAATGCTAAAGGGTCACTCTATGATGGGTTCAAAATGCAAGAAAAATGAAATAACTTGAAATGTGAATTCATCTACTAACACAGTCTTAAAATATAAAAGAGCAAAAGTGGATAAAACTGCATTCAGAAATAGACAAATCTACCCAGGGGGATATTTCTAACACCTCTTTCTGAATAATCTATAGTTAAAACAGAAGAAAACAGTAAGGATGTATAAATTTTGAGCTACACAATTAACAGACTTGACTTACTGGGCATATATTGAACATGGTGCCCAGTAACTGATACCTCTTGTTCTTCTCAGAAATACATAAAACATTTATGAAAACAAACCACATGCTAGGCCATAAAACAAATTTCAATAAACTTGAAAATATTGGAATTATATAGACTATATTCTTGGACTATAGCACAATTAAATCAGAAATCATTAACAAACAGATGTGGGAAAATTTTATATTTGAAAATTTTAAAACATGCCTAAATAACTCACAGGTCAAACAAAAATCATGATGGAAATTAGAAAATATTTAGAAATGAATGATAATGAAAATAAATCAAAACTTCTAGGATGTAGCTGAATCACCAAACACTAGGAAAGAAGGGTGAAAATCAATGAAATAAAGATTCAAGTTAAAATGTCAGAACAGCAGAAGCAGAAAAAAAAAAATCCAAAGAAAGTAGAATGAAGGAAACAGACTAAAAATTAATGAAACAAACATAAATAAAGGGATCAACAGGCCAAAAAATGCTTCTTGGCAAGGATTAAATTGACACAGCTCTCATATGACTGGGAGGCAAAAAAAAGATGGTATGGATAAACAATAGAATATAGACCATGACAATGATTTATTTCAGATGGTACAGAAATTTAAAAGAAGATTTTATGAACAATTTGATTATATTAATTTGAAAACTTAGATGAAATGCATAAATTCCTTTAAAAATTTTAACCTTACCAATATTAAATTAATAGAACATCTTGATGTACTTCTACAGGCACTAAAGAAATTTAATACATACATACAAAAAAATTTCCCTTCAAAGAAAGCTCCAAGCAGGCCCAGGTGGTTCTACTTTTGAGTTCAACCAAACATTCCAGGGATAAATAGTATTAGTCTTAAGTGACCATTCCCAACTCTCTTATACGTAGTCTGCAGTATACATGACAGGTTCTAAAATAAACATCAGTGTTCTTCCCCTCTCTCCCATTCTGGAAGACCATGTCTCAGACACGGTGGAGTTCAGCACTGCATGGTCAATTGGACTAAGTGACCATTTAATCTCTAAGATTTAATGAAAGTGTGTAATATGAAAAATCAGTAAACCACAGACTTAAAAAACAGGTAACACGGTGATTTTTACCAAATACATACACCTGTGTACACACCGTACATACAGCACTTAAAGTCAACAAAGTGGAGCCTTGAGGCATCTTCTGAAATACACAATTCCCTCTCATTTATTTTTGACCCCCTTTCTTCATGTCGAAATCTCAAAAATTCTAAAGCTTTACCACTTAAAACTCCTCACCAGAGATAACTCCTCACCAGAAAGAAAATGTTTACCTGTCTGCCAAGAAATTAATTACTCAAACTTGGAAGTTTTTTTTTTGGAGTCAGAGGAATTCTTACAGCTATGACAACTTTTCATCTTCTAAGAGACAAGCGTTCCAAGTCCTATCTTTCAGAGGAAAGGAACCCAGTTCATATCTTCATTTAATCCTATTCTGAAAATGAAAAGCTGAGAGTGGTTGGGAAAAACAATATAATTGTATTAATTATCAGAAGAAGAACACAATGGTGATTTCTCTGTTCTTACCTCCTTACATGATAAACAATTCCCGCTAAGAAGTCAAGAGAACAGGATATGTTATAAGGAGGGGTGGCTTGGATAAAATCAACACTCTAGAGCAATTCTCACCTTAACGATGGTAACATCCATGCCAGATAAGTGTAAAATCGGGGCAGCATTTTTTTCAAATAGAGTCCTGGCTTTGCTGTAAACGAAGGAAAAAAATACAAATATTTTAACAGGAGTGATCAGGAGGGAAAATAAAGAGCCCAACCATCTTCTCTAGAATAGGACAAGGAACAGCCTACAGAACACAGGTTTCCTCTATTTGTTCAACACAGGAAGACTAATGATGAGTAATAAGTTTCTCTGGGTAGAAACACGGACTCTCTCACTCTAGGGCCTCCAGGAGCTTGCCCCTATCCATATGGGATGCTTACAGTTCACATTCTAGCTCCTCCAGAGGAAAAGGGTACACTAGATACGGCTCCAGTCTAGCAACAATGTCTGATTCATTCAACAAGCACTACCGACCTTCTACTGTGTGCTAGACACATCTAGGAGCTGGACAAACAACAGGACAAGGCAGACAAACATACGTGTAATTCAGGTATAATGTAACAAGCCCTTGAGGAGCTTCTTTATAGTCCGCTGCTGGACTGAGGATGTATTTAACATTTTTCATGTGGCCAGAGAGAACAGATTGAACCAAACAGAATATTGCTTAATTCTGACTCAGTGAACACAACCTTTGAAGGAAAGAGATATTATTTTTAACAATTTCAAATACTAGGGGTATCTCCATTTCTTGAGTTTTAAGCCTGTAGTGAAATCCCTGGAGAAAGAGCAAAATTCTTTTCCACAGAGGCAGAATTTCTGCTGGGAAAGGGAAAAGTTCTAAATTACCTAATCTTAATATGGGATAATTGGCAGCTTGTCTAAAACTCCAAGGGGCTTCCCTTGTGGCTCAACTGGTAAAGAATCCGCCTGCAATGTGGGAGACCTCGGTTCGATCCCTGGGTTGGGAAGATACCCTGGAGAAGGGAAAGGCTACCCATTCCAGTATTCTGGCCTGGAGAATTCCAAAGACTGCACAGTCCATGGGGTCACAAAGAGCCGGACACGACGGAGCGACTCTCACTTTCACTTTTTAAAACTCCCAGTCACGTGCTTTTCAGGGTAACCCTGGCACACGGTCCACACCTCTCGTGGGGACGTTCATATTCTGTGATGAATAGTGGTTCCCAAGACAGTCTTCAGCACTAGACTGGAAGCCTTGCAAAAACACACACCAAACCTTATTAATCCTTGAGTCCTGTGGCCTTTAGCATTATGACTGGTATACTTAGAAGGTTATTTAGTAAGCACCTGGTACACTAATACACTTATGAATGAATGAATAATCCATTCCAAATGTAGACAGGTGTATTGTGAGGAAAAGGAAGTAAGACAATTGTGGTATCTTATAACAACAGAAATAAAGCACTCTTAAGAGTTTGTGTGTTTTAAAAGTATACACAGCATTCTAGTAGTGACCCTTGTCCAATTCAGGTCAAGATTCAAAAACAAAAGCCTAGAAATCAAGGGATGCAGAAGCGGCAGAAAGTTTCCAGCCATACAGTCTCAAGGTTGAATAAAGGTTAAACCTATCAATCAGCTGACTTGTCTTTTACCCAAATATTTTCAACTATCGTATCACAAAACAGAAACAAAAACTAGCACTTTCAAAACAATCAACACCAAACATCTAACGTTTACATTCACACTTACCCAGTCCTCTATCAAAAAGATTATTTTTCTTATCAGTGAGCCATGCTTTGAATTTCTTAAGAATATTTTATACTAGAAAGAGATGCAAAAGTAGTGAATGAGGAACATGTATAAAGTTATGCACAGACCAAATTCAACATTCTTTAAAAAGAAGCAACTACCAAATGGAATACAGAACATAAAACGTTTCTGATTAAGAATGAAAACAGAAATTGAGAAACTTGAGTAAATTTTCACAAGAGCCAAAAGAACAGCCTGAACCAAGGGCCCACCTAGGCAGGTAATAAGCAAACCAAACAAACCTATCCTCCCTCTTCTACGGCTCTGAATGCTTATTAGAATGAATGCTGCTGCTGCTAAGTCACTTCAGTCGTGTCCAATTCTGTGCGACCCCATAGACGGCAGCCCACCAGGCTCCCCCGTCCCTGGGATTTTCCAGGCAAGAACACTCGAGTGGGTTGCCATTTCCTTCGGCAATATTTGAATGAATGGGAAAGGCTAAATGGAAACCCCTCCTTCCCAGACCACCTTTTCTGGGGCTTACACCAACAATAAAGGCTGAGCTGGTGATACTGTAAACACTTCTCCTTGCAGGGCTGCTCTCATTAACGGGCTGATAAGAAAGGGTCAGGTGGAAGTGGTCCAGATCCATCTCTGGGAGGCAGAACTCTGGAGAAGTCTCAAGTGGCTGTATTAATCACTTATAACACACCTGGGGGCTCCTCTGAGTTAGCTTAAGAAATAAGATTTGCAAAAGTACAATGAGGTATCACCTCACACACAGTCAAATGGCATCATCAAAGAAATCTACAAACAATAAATTCTGGAGAGTGTGTGGAGAGAAGGGAACCCTCTTACACTGTTGGTGGGGATGTAAATTGGTTCAGCCACCATGGAGAACAGTATGGAGGTTCCTTAAAAAACTGAAAACAGAGGTACCATATGATACAGCAATCCCACACCTGGGCATAACATATATTTGGAAAAGATGAAACTCTAATTTGAAAGGATACATACATCACCCCAACGTTCACAGCAGCACAATTTACAATAGCTAAAACATGGAAGCAACCTAAGTGTCCATCGACAGATGAATGGATAAAGATGTGGTGTGTATACACATGCGTATGCATGCATACACACACACACACACACACACGGTGGAATATTACTCAACCATAAAAAGAATGAAATATTGTCATTTGCAACAACATGGATGGACCTAGAGATCATCACACTAAGTGAAATAAGTCAGAAAGAACAAGACAAATATTATATAATATTACTTACATGTGGAATCTAAAAAATAAATTTATTTTAAAAACAGAAATGAACTCACATAGAAAACAAGCTTATGGCTACCAAAGTGGGGACGGATAAATTAGGAGTATGGGATTAACGGATACACACTATTATATATAAATTAGATAAACAAAGAAGATTTACCAGTTTATTGGGTTTTTTTTTTTTTTCTGGCCAAGCAGCATGTGGGATCTTAGTTCCCTGACCAGGGACTGAAGCCAAGCCTCCTACATTGGAAGCATGGCATCTTAATCACTGGATGGCCAGGGAAGTCCCAACAAAGATTTACTGTATAGCACAAGGAACTATATTCAATGTATTATAATAATCAATAATGGAAAAGAATCTGAAAAAAAAATATGTATATATAACTGAATCATTCTGCTGTACAGCTGAACCTAATACAATACTGTAAATCAACTGTAATTTTAAAAAAAGAAAAAATATCTGAACATTTGGGCCTTTATTCACGTATTTATGTGATGCTACAGGTACAGAAAATCTCTAAGATGAAAGTGAAGACTTTTTTTTCCTTCTAATGTTCCATATAAAAGATTGAAAAACAAGTGTTAAAAAAAAACACACAAGTGTTACCAGTAAGAAATGTATTATTTATTATATAATTAAGGGTGAGATAGCACCAGAGCCAAATAAAAACTTTCTATACTACAGCAATTTCCAGGTTCATGCACACACAAAAAATAATTACTCCTTAATGTATTATGTATTAATGCTAAACACAGTTATCTTATTTCCTAAAGCTCTAATGTAGTTTTAAACCAGTACTACATAATGAAATAGCTACATGATAAATTATAAATTATGTGTCAGGGCAGAGCCAAGATGACAAAAATAGTACAATTAAGTAGCAAAAGCTATTTCAGAGTGACTGCTTCCTAGAAGCATTCAGGGATTCACCTTGTCAAAGTGGACCATGACTTTAGAAAAATTTTCCTTACCCTCATCTGCAGATAAAGGTATCATACTTTTCAACACTAACTTCACCTTTAAAATCACAAATACATTTCCATGTAAAAGTGTAAACAGAACCTAAAACTGCTTTTTAAAGTGTCTTCATTGTTTAAAAATGCAAATATCTCTTAGATGTAAAAATTCAAAATGACTGATTATAGCTTAAACAATTGCCATATAGATCATCAAAATTGGCAACTTACTAACTTACTAGGTCTGGAAAGGAATAGGACCTGGAACAGTTACATTAATGCGGACAGAAGGAGAGGTCCAAGGGTGGACAGCCAAGTAAAGAACCTTTTGAACTCAGCCTACAGGTCAGTAAGGGCTTCCCTGGTGGCTCAGTGGTTAAAAACCCCATCTGCCAATGTAGAAGACGCAGGAGGCTCGAGTTCGATCCCTAGGTTGGGAAGATCTGTAGGAGGAAATGGCAACCCACTCCAGTAGCCACGCCTGAAAAATCCCATGGACAGAGGATCCTGGTGGGTTACAGTCCGTGGGGTTGCAAAGAGTTGGACATGACACAGTGACTAACACTACAGGTCTGAAACAACAAGAACAGCAGCTTATATTTCTTTAATCGAATGCTAATTATGAAATGGAAGGAATGCAAAACACTTTAGAGACATTATCTCATTTAATCCTAAAGGATTACATGGTAATTTTTATAAGGTATGTGCCATTATTTTCCCATTTTACAGATGAGTATAAACTGAGGAGTAAAGAAACTAAAAAGCAACACCCACAGCATCACAGAGCAGAAGAGAGGATACAGACCTGGTCCTCCAGACTCTCAAACTCACATCCAGGTCCCTGCTGGCTTCTCCCAAAAGCCACCAGCGACTATTTAGCTGTCTTGGGTATTTTGATTATGTTCTGTTGGTATTTTTGTTTAGTGCTGGATTTAAACAAGAATGAGGGAAGTCCCTGGAGGTCCAGTGGGTAAGAATCCACGTTGCAATGCCAGGGAAAGTGAAAGTGAAAGCCGCTCAGTTGTGTCCAACTCTACGACCCCATGGACGATACAGCCCATGGAATTCTCCAGCCCAGAATACTGGAGTAATGCTGGGGGCACAGGTTCAATCCCTGGTTGGGGAACTAAGATCCCACGAGCCACAACTAAGACCCTATGCAGCCAAGTAAATAAATATATATAAATAAATATTGAATAAGAACAATCACAAGGGCTTATGATAAGCATGTTTAGGGGGACAGGAAGTGGCTCCAACAAAGGTGGGCAAATCTGATTCAATTAGGTAGTGCAATGGAGCCGATTTAGGCAATCTGGAGGTAAGTATCTTAAATTGCTGAATTCGAAAGAAATAAGGCATGGCTAGTCCTCATATCTGTGAAGCCACACTTACTACCTCCCTAGAAAAGACAAGAGAAACTTATTTCAGAACTCCTGCTTTTCTTTCCAGACGTCAAACTTCCCACTTAAGAGCCACTCCCAACTATGCTTTTTGTTGTTTTTCTCATTATCTTAATTCCATTTGATTTTCCATTTGATTTTGACCTTATAGAATCCAATCTAATACAGATTTATTAATTTTCCGATCCTCAAACAGGACAAAAAGTATTATTCTGGTCCTCAGAAAGAATAAAAGGTATCACTCCCCCCCCCAACCAATTCTTTCTATTTTAAAAAAAAATAATTTTAGGACTTCTCTGGTGGTAGAGTGGACGGGAATCTGCCTGCTGACGCAGGGGACATGGGTTCGATCCCTGGGCCAGGAAGATTCCACACGCCGCTGAGCAGCTAAGCCCATGAACCACAGCTAAGGAGCCTAAGTGTCGCAACTACTGAAGCCCATACCCCCTTGAGCCTGTGCTCTGCAACACGAGAGGCCACTACAGTGACAAGCCCAAGCGATGCAACAGTGAGTAGCCCCTGCTCGCTGCAACCAGAGAAGGCCTCCATGCACAGCAGCAAAGACCCAGCACAGCCATAAATAAATAAAAACATTTTAAACGCAATCATAATTTTAAATTTTAAATGATTTCTTCTAGAAACTATCAAAAGTCCTTTCCAACTGAATGACAGTTGTTCCCAACTAATAATATAAGAGAAAAAGTTTTTTATTTTGCTTACGGGACTTTAAAAAAAATTAAGACTGGAGCCTGCCAGGCTCCGCTGTCCATGGCATTTTCCAGGCAAGAGTACTGGAGTGGGATGCCATTTCCTTTTCTAGAGGATCTTCCCAATCCGGGGATCGAACCCAGGTCTCCCACATTGCAGGCAGACGCTTTACCCTCTGAGCCACCAGGGAAGCCCAAGTTCACAGTAAAAAACAGCGGACAATACAGAGTTCTCACATAACTCCCTCCCTGATCCCCTACACACACACCACACACACTCTCTCCCTCCCTTTCAATATCCTGCACCAATATCGTACATTTGTTATAATAAATGAACACATGACTATCAACCAAGGTCCCAACTAGTCTTCACATGTTAATTCTCACAATTGCGTCACATGAGCCCTCCAGGACTGTCAGAACAGTGACACAGCAAGGGATATGTCAGCACTCCTATCTCTAACCACATTCCCCCACCACCACATGTCACTTCCTTAGGAAGACCGAGTGTCCTCCCAGCTGACCTCCAAGACCCAACTCTACATTCACTGCTCTGGGGAAGAACGTTTCTGACCTCACAAGGCCACAGTACTCCTGGCCATCTCTGAACATCTCACATCACAGCAGCAGAAGCTGTTCCCAAAGGGGGCTAGGACCAAGCAGATAAGACTGATTTGAATGTGCTAATTCTGCAATAATTATTAAAATTCAATTAGACAAGTTGGCTAAGCATCAGTTAGCTTTACAGTTATATCCCCTTAAACCATGATTTCTACAATACAATTGAATCTTATGGCTACGAGAGTAATGAACCTAGTGCTTCCAGTTCCACAGACTCCAACCAGCTGCCTGACACTGTGACTCTTTGCCCCTAGAAAAACTGAATTTGTAACAAATCACAGACTGAACTACCCTTTGCAAGCTGCAGGGTTGAGAAACACAGTTGCCTTCTTCACTTGCGCATTGGGAGGAATAAGTTGATTGCCAAACACCTAAAAAGGAACAAAGAAAAGTTTTCAGTAAGTGTCCTTTTATTGAGTTAGTGAACACATATATCCTTTCACTCCAAAAGAATTTAATTCTGGCCTCTACCCTGAGGAAGCCAATGTTCTTCTAAGATTTCATATTGACAACCCCACCATAAAGCTGCATGAATCTAAAAAGAGTGACACCAACGAATTTACTTATAAAACAGAAACAGATTCACAGGCTCAGAGAAGGAATTTAAGGTCGCCAAGGGGGAGGAATGGGGGGAAAGGCTAGTTAGGGAATTGGGGATTGACACGTACTCATTGTTATAATTAAAACGGATAACCAACAAAGCTACTGTAACAGCACAGGGAACTCTGCTCGATGTCATGTGTCAGCCTGAATGGAAGAAGGGTTTGGGGGAGAATCAGTTCAGTCACTCAGTTGTGGCTGACTCTGCAACCCCATGGACCGCAGCACACCAGGCTTCCCTGTCCATCACCAACTGCCGGAGCTTGCTCAAACTCAAGTCCATCAAGTCGGTGAAGCCATCCTCTGTTGGATGAGGAGAAGGGGTTCTCTTGCCTTCAGTCTTTCCCAGCATCAGGGTCTTCTCCAATGAGTCAGCTCTTCATATAAGGTGGCCAAAGTATTGGAGTTTCAGCTTCAACATCACTCCTTCCGATGCATATTCGGGACTGATTTCCTTTAGGATTGACTGGTTGGATCTCCCTGCAGTCCAAGGGACTCTCAAGAGTCTTCTCCAACACCACAGTTCAAAAGCATTGACATGTAAATCCATGGCTGATTCATGTCAAAGTATGACAAAAACCACTACAATATTGTAAAGTAATTAGCCTCCACATAATAAAAATAAATGAAGAAAAAAAAAAAAAGCACTGATTCTTCAGTGCTCAGCTTTCTTTATAGTCCAACTCACATCCATACATGACTACTGGAAAAACCATAGCCTTGACTAGATGGACCTTTGTTAGCAAAGTAATGTCTCTGCTTTTTAATATGCTGTCTATGTTGGCCATAGCTCCTCTTCCAAGGAGCAATCATCTTCTATTTTCGTGGCTGTAGTCACCGTCTGCAGTGATTTTGGAGCCCAAGAAAATAAAGTCTGTCACTGTTTCCCATCTATTTGCCATGAAGTGANGGTTCATAGGGTCGCAAAGAGTCGGACACGACTGAGCGACTGAACTCAACTGAAGTGCCTAATATTTGCCACTTCCACACATATTGTTCTTAGTTCTCAGAAACCAAGTAGGAATTAAATATTCCCATGTCTATAGATGAGAAAGCCAAGATTCAGAAAAATTAAGTCAAAGTGTTAATAAATTACAAGTTCACAATTTATATCCATCTAACTTCAAAATCCAAACTTCCACTCTATCAGTTCTAAAGAGAAGATAATGGATGAGACAAGAGTTCAAACTCACAGAGGATAAGATGTAAGGGGTTACGATGGGGACTAAACAGAGCTGCCACTGCTCCATCAGGATGGGAGAAGATGGTCAACAAAAAGAAGGAGCATAGAGAAATCCTAAACAGGGCAAAATTTTGAGTCTTAACTGGTCGGGAAGCAGGTCTGGGCCAAGAAGGTAGAATTCAAGTACAGAAGTACAAGGCAAAGAAGAAAAATGAAAGTTATACCAAGTATCTTATTAAGTAACTGATTCTGACTCTACCACCTCCCTGACAGCCCACTGGAGATCCTTTCTCATTATTGTCTATTACTTGCTCTAAACACAAAAATAAACCTCTATTGCTGAATACTTCAGAAGGACATATTGTTTTCTTTGTAAAAAGTTTCTGGTACATCATAATTTCTACTGTTTTCATTCTAAGTTAGACTTTAATATTGTAATTTGTTCTTCTTCTGTCCATACTATTTCTGGAATTTGGCCAGAAATGACTTATTTAACCGGCCAGATTACAGATCTATAATTCTAGATTATTCTTCTTGGTCCTGGGTTTATAGCCTCTAGAAGCCTTAGCTACCTGCGACTCAGGACTAGGGTTTATAGTAGATCAAGGAGTTTACATGAGACTATAATGAAGTGAGCTTAAAAAAAAATCCTATTTTATTCAAGAATTTAGACTGAAAGGGGATGGACACAGGAAAAGTAACTAGGAGGAGTAGACTGTAAGGATGAATTCACTTGCTTTTTTCAGATGAGAGGAGCTAAATGGGTGTTGGGAAGCGGAGAATTAGAACAGTGGGAAGAGGGAAACGTGCGAGGGAAGAAACAAGGGAAGGACCAGGGCCATGAAACAGGAGGAGGAGAGGGGACTCAGAGCAGAGGTGAAGGCATTAATACTTCACACAAGAAAGGGAGTGCCGCATCCACTCTGTTCAAGAGCAAAAGGCTTCCCCGTGCACAATTTTCTAGTTACTAATGGAAAATTAGCTTGGGGTGAAGATCACCTCAAATTTAATACTAAGGTTTATTTGAATTGATCTCCAAAACAACCCAGAGCCATGAGATGAAACAACAAAGCAATCAAATTCCTAAAACACAGATTTAGAACAGTTAGGGAATCCCGAAAGAGAGAAATTTGTTCACACTGTCTATTGTCATTGTAATCCATGAAGACACTTCAGAACGTTTTCTGCCTCCTACTTCTACTAAACGCATCATGCCTTTGTCATTTTTTAATTTCATGTTTCTTTTTTGGTATTTTTGACATCATAAGCTTAAGTGACATAACAAAAAGGCAACTTAACCATGCAAATTCATCTGCAAGTTATAAAGTGCATATTTGGAGGGGAGGGAAAAAAGAAATGTGATCTTAAACTTGAAAGGATGAACAATTCAACTCTAACTAGATAGATGAATATTTAAGTGCAATACCCTGAGACTGGGAATAACAATGCACAGGCTATGACTCAGCTGGGCTAAAGAGACAGGCTTTAAAAGTACGAATCAACAGTTTTAAGAAGATTTGACTTTGAGAGGTAACAACTGCTCTGAACTGATATCCTTGGGGCTTATTCGGCTTAGGCATGAATCGGGCTTTAGCCAGAGCTTCCAGGCCACCTGCAGACATGAACAAATTCCCAGAACCCAACCAGTCCAGTTCTGTGTTCTTTGGACTAGTCCAGAAGTAAACAAGTCTGAAGGGGTGGGCGTTGGAACTGCTCTTCGCCAGATGGTTAACTTCCTCGAGTTCTATTCAGAGTTGGCTGGCAGCCTGATTCATCCCCTGATAGTGGGGGAAAAAACAGCCAAGCTGCACTGATGCAAGGTGCTGGGCAAGTCCCCTGGAACAGCCTGAGATTTCTGCACGGTGGAGATAAGGCGGGTTTTAATTGTTTCATATTAAACAGCATTACCTGAGCTTCTTGACAGGCTGCTCTCCTTAGTAGGTTATCACTATCAAAGTAAACAAAAGAGAAGGAACGTTAGCTTTAATAAGTAGGTTCAAATCCAAACAAGTCATCACTTTTTAAAGTACATATAACTCTTTAAAATAGTCAAGTGAACGTTTCTTAAGAACTGTAACGAATCATGGGCACATCTGAAAGGTACTTTCTCCAAATGAAATCCATGTTAGTGAATCCATGTTAGGTGTTCCCACACAACAGCAGGCAGAATAATCCTCACTCCCTTTATGATGTTCACATCCTAATTCCCAGAATCTGAAAAGGTTACCGTATGTGGCAACAGGGTTTCTACAGAAATGATTAAGTTAGGGTCTGGAGATGGGAGAGAATTCTGGATGACGCAGGTGGGCCCAATGGAATTGCAAGGGTCCTCAAAAGCAGAGAAACTTCAGTAACAAATATGACCAGGAAAGGATGGTCAGAAAGACACAACCTCGCTGGCTTTGAAGATGGAAGGTAGCTTTAAGTCAAGGAGTGTGAGTACCCAGGCAGGAGAGGGGCTCTCCCCAGAGCCTCCAGGAGGGACGCTGTCCTTGCCAACACCTTGAAGTTAAATCCAGGGAGCCCTGTGTTGGATCTCTACTCCACAAACAAGGCTTCTGCTCAGTCGTGTCTGACTCTTTTTGACCCCATGGGCTATAGCCTGTCAGACTCCTCTGTCCATGGGATTCTTCAGGCAAGAATACTGGAGTGGGTTGCCATTCCCTTCTCCAGGGGATCTTCCCAACCCAGGGATCACAGCCCCATCTCCTGCATCGGCAGGCAGATTCTCTACCACAGAGCTACCTGGGAAGCCACAAAACTGTAAGATAATAAATTTGTGTGGTATTAAATCTCTAAGCTTGTGGTAATTTGTTAGGGCAGCAACAGAAAAACGAATGCACATACCCTGCGTTTTTCTTATTCAGTAGAAATTACTCAGGTCATTTGCCAGAAATAAATTTCAAATACAGTTGCTTCTGCTAGTGTTTTCTCTAAATCTCTTATTTTTTTATATCACAGTCAGATACACAATTATGTCATAAATGGATAATTCTGGCGTGAGGCAAAATTTTAGCTTGCAAAAACAAAACGTTCTATCAGAATATGTTCAACTATTCAGCATAAAGCTTTCTAAAATGTGTTTGGGCCACTTATACCCTAAGACCACTTTAAATAGCTGACTGCCTACCATGCTCCAGAATCTTCTCCTTGTAAGAGTCCATTCTAACACGGGTTGCTAGCATCATTCATATAGTAACTTCAACCTGGCTAACAACAGTTAAGAAAACGAATACCCAGAAAACATGAGCAGTAAACAATTTAGAGAGAAGAATTAAAAGGAGAAAGGGTTATTTTACTTAAATTTTCTGTCTAGACCTTTCTCATAACATCAAAGACCTTGAATTTTGCATCTTTACAGTACAATAAGTCCCCTACATGCAAACAAGTTACATTTTGAGGGTGCATTCCTAAGTCCAGTTTGTCCATAAGTCCAACCAAGCTACCCTAGGTACCCAACTAACACAAGCGGCTATATAGCACTGCACTGTAATAGGTTTATAATACTTTTCACACAAATAGTACATATTAATTAAAATTAAACTTTTGCTTTTTGCTATAGTTGCAGTCAAAGGCTATGGAGTTTTCTTCCAGAGCCAGGCTGCAGGACAAGCCCGATTTCACAGAGCCATCAGCTTCCAGGAGAAAGCACTCCCTAAGAGGAAGTATCCCTGCTGCCCACCTGAAACCTAAGGGCAGTAGCAACGTCCCATTACAATTACAGTGACACCAGTACCTCAAACCCTGATAGCTCAGTGGGTAAAGAATCCGCCTGCAATGCAGGAGGCCCCGGTTCGATCCCTGGGTTTGGAAGATCCCCTGGAGAAGGGAAAGGCTACCCACTCCAGTATTCTGGCCTAGAGAATTCCATACAGTCCATGGGGTCACAAAGAGGCGGACACGACTCAGCAACTTTCACTTTCAGTACCTGAAAAGCACATATGGCTCTACAGCAAAGATTTCAGGGGGACCGATCCCTTGTGACGTCTACCCCACAAGGCGCCTTTACAGCCAGGCTCAGCCCCCTTGCTGGAGCGACACTGCTCCCCACCAGCCCAGGGCAAAAGGAGGCCTAAAGCTCATCTCCCTCCCCACCCAAGAGTCACAAATGCTTTGCTCTTTCCAAGCCTCTCCATCAACTGCTCTCAGTGAATTACTCTAACGTCAACAGAACATGCATGCAAGATGAGGCAGATTCAGGGTGCAATCTAGTAAAATATTTAAAAATAGTTACATGTCAATAACCCTTTGTAATAACCCTTCACACTCATGCCCTTCTGTACAATGATGAGGCAAAACACAGAGCCCTCTGTATCCGTTGGATCATAAAATACAACTAGGTTCCTTGTAGTCACCTGAGCATTCTCAGCGGATTTAACCCTCAGTCTAGTTTCCAGACTGCCCAAGTTTCCGCTGCCAGTCTCACAGGACTGTCTTCCTCCTCCTCCTTGCCTCAGTGTGTTTTTCCTAGTAGACAGAATGACCTATGCCTCGTCTTATCCTACAGAGACAGCCTGTGGATTACTCCATACAAACACATGCTTCTATAAAGCTGATTGCCTATCTCTATATATCTGTCTGTTTCCCCCAGCCAGCTCCTTCTTCTACGAGGGTCAGGCCTCTGAAGGCACCAGTACCCTCTGGGTCATTAGTAGACACCACCTTCCTTACTGCATTTCAGCCACGCTCATGCCTGTGGACCCAGCTGAAAAGGGAAGACCCCCAAACAGATACAGGAATATGGGTAGCATCTTGGATCATTTTTTCTCAATTATTTTTTTTTGCTAGAAGTAAAATTCTGATGGTTAACTTGTGAAGAAGTGTATTATTAAAGATCTCAGCTCTCTTGAGCTTACTAATAACTGCTTGATGTATCAGCGCCCTATTGAAAATCAAAAGGTATTTTGATAGTTAACATCCTGGATTACAACGAGCTAAATGGAGTATGTGCACTGCCAACGCCACCTGTGAGAAAGACAGAATATGTACCAATTTAGACATTACAAAAGAAATCCTCATTATAATCACATTTAGCTTTTTAAATATCAAAAAATGGTATCAATTACCTTGATCACGTTCTCTGAACCAAGTTGTATCTAAAACTCAAACCTATCCTCAAAAGAAAAGATATTTCTCCTATCGACATAGTCTGAAGGTCTACAGCAAGTTCTGAAAACTATTTCAAAAAAGAAATTTCAAGGATGTTTTCCGTAATGGCAGCATTGCTGCAATAAAAAAGAAAATAACTTAAAATCCACAGAGCAACTACTGTGTGCCAGATACTACAGCAGTTGGTTTCATAAACCTTTAGTCTTTGTAACAACCTTGCAGGGCTTCCCTGGGGGCTCAGCTGGTAAAGAATCCACCTGCAATGCAGGAGACCTGGGTTCAATCCTGGGGTTGGGAAGATCCCCTGGAGGAGGGCATGGCAACTCATATCCAGTATTCTGACCTGGAGAATCCCCACGGACAGAGGAGCCTGGCAGGCTGCACTCCATGGGGTTGCAAAGAGTCAGACACAACTGAGGGAATCAGCACCCAACCATCTTGCAAGGCAGGAGGTACATTCCCATCTTACAGATGAGGAAGTCCAGGCTCAGAGAAAGAAAACTGACTTGCCCAAGAGCACGTGTTGCTAAGTGGGAGAGCAGGCTTTCAAATGACTTAATGCTGCTACTTCTTAATTCCAGACCATACTGAATGGGCAATACTTCTTTGGATGCATACTTTATAGCACATTTATTAAGCTAACACATCGCTTCTTAGTCCCAGCTAACATAACTCTTAGAATTTATATTCATATAGTTTTTTTTTTAATATATAAATTCAAGTGCAATAAAGCTCCTGAAAGGAACTGGTGAAACAAACTGATTTAACACAAAAGTGCCAGGTACAGCACCACAAACAAGACTTGGTCCTGACCTGAAGAAGCTTGGGATCTAGGAGCAAAGAACAGCACTTGGTAAATATCAGTGATATAGTAAAAGACATGTTTCTTGATAGATAACATGCCAGGCACAGTGCTGGGTATCTATGACATACAGGTGCATAACGACATTCCCCATCCTTGTGAAGTCTACAGTTTGAAGAGGGAAGAAAGACAATTTGCTAGGCAATCATCAAATGATATGACTTCTACGTGCTCCACAAAAGAAGTGTCTGACAGAGGTATCTAACCTCGTCTTGAGGGAATTAGAGAAGACTTTTACATGGACAGTGAAGTTGAGATCTAGCAGAGAAACAGAAAGTAGCCAGGCAAAGACAGGGAGGAGAATGCAGGCAAAGGAAAGAGCATGGGAAAAAGCCCGCAAGTGCAAGGTCACAACCAAGGCCAGAACCGGAAGCAGCTCCGGACAGCTGCAGCAGCAAAGCAGGGAGGAGCCAGGACAGGCGGCCTCCAGGAGCCTGCCCGCACCCATTTAAGGGATGTGGGCTTACCCTAGGGGCCATAAGCCATCGCAGGGCTTTAAGAAGGAAACTGACAAGACCAGGCTGACCGCGTAGAAGGATCATTCTGGCTGCAGTGTCAAGAAGGCAAGGGTCAAAGATAAGACCTAATCCACGGAGACCAGGGAGGATTCTTTAGGAATTGAGGAGTGAACTTTAGGGCTGGCTCGTGGGTAGGGAGGGGTCAGAGACCCCTTGACCTTCCAGCAGAAGGCGTCACTTTCACAGAGATGGAAGGCAACACGAAGGACTGGTTGAGGAGGGAGGAAGCTATGTTTGATCTGGATCGGTCGATCTGAGACAACGGTGAGAGCCCAGGGGGGAGGATCCAGGTGACAGCTAGAAATACATGCCTGGAATTCCAGACAGAGCTCCTGACTAAAGATGAACATGGCTGGACTTCCCCGGGGGGTCTAGGGGTTAAGAATCCGCCTGCCAATGCAGGGGACGCCGGTTAGATCCCTGGTCTGGGAAGACTCCACATGCCGTGACAATGAAGCC